CAGTTTATATCAATGGGATTGAACAAAAAACGGACAAGAAATTTATAAAAAATGGAAATATTGGAATTATCAGATTTGGTAAAACTGTTAAAACTATTACAGAAGGACGTTCACATGACCAGGGCTCTTTCTTTTGTTGTTCTTCATTAACATTAATATCAATTCCTTCTTCTGTAACTTCAATCGGAGATTATGCTTTCCGTGATTGCTTAAGATTAACACAAATTGAATTTGAATTTCCTTCTTCTGTAGCTTCAATTGGTGACTTTGCTTTCTATAATTGTTTAAGATTAACACAAATTACAATTCCTTCTTCAGTAACTTCAATTGGAAGATGTGCTTTTCATTTTTGTAGATCATTAACACAAGTCACAATTCCTTCTTCTGTAACTTCAATCGGAGATTATGCTTTCCTTGATTGTTTATCATTAGCACAAATTGAATTTGAATTTCCTTCTTTTTTAGCTTCAATAGGTCGTGAATGTTTTAAATGCTGTTCATCATTAACACAAGTCACAATTCCTTCTTCTGTAACTTCAATCGGAGATTATGCTTTCCTTGATTGTTTATCATTAGCACAAATTGAATTTGAATTTCCTTCTTCTTTAGCTTCAATAGGTCGTGAATGTTTTAAATGCTGTTCATCATTAACAAAAATTTCAATACCTTCTTCTGTAACTTCAATTGGACGTGATGCTTTCTATGATTGTTTATCATTAGCACAAATCACATTTGAATTTCCTTCTTCTTTAGCTTCAATAGGTCGTGAATGTTTTAAATGGTGCTCTTCATTAACAAAAATTTCAATACCTTCTTCTGTAACTTCAATTGGACGTGATGCCTTTTTTATATGTTCATCACTTTTAATTATATCAATTCCCTTAAAAGGATGCTCATCACTTTATTCGATATTTAGAAAGAGGATGAAATTGGGAATTAATAACGATGCACAAATTTGTGATCTTGATTCTATTTTCTTAAATGCATTTATGAATGTTTCCTCTCTTTCATATGAAATTGGTTACATTAATCAGGCATCTGCTCCTTTTTTTGTTAGGAAAGCTTTAAAAGATATATTTTCAATTGCTGTATCTATAGAATACAATCTATTTTCAATTTCCAGTCAGAAAAATGAGCATCAAAGTCCGCCAATAGATTTTGAAGAAAAATTGCAAAACCAAAAAAAAGAATTTGAAATCCAGCAAAAAGAATTTGAGATTCAGAAAAAGGAATTTGAAATCAGGCAAAAAGAATTTGAAATCCAGAAAAAAGAACTTGAAAACCAAATGAAACTAATGCTTGAAAAAATGATAAAGCAACAGGATGAAGTTGAAAAACTAAAAAAAGAAATGTTTGAGAAAGATGAGAAATATAAAAAGGAAATGGAAGAAAAAGATGAAACAATTCAAATATTAATTGAAAAGTTAAAAGTTATTCAAAATAAATCATAAATCTTTTCCATTTAATAAAAATCTTATAATTTGGATTTAATATCAGTAAGTTAAAATATAATTATATATATAAAATATAAATAATTGATAATTAAAAATAAATAATCAGAACATTATGAGAAAAATGTAAATTATATTATTTCAATTTTCATAAACATTTCAATTTTTAAAAAAGTCTTTTGGCTCAATGAGTATTGATGAATTAAAAGAGAAAATGAAAAGGATTCAAAATGTTCTTCTTGAGTATTGAGGATGAATTCAATACCGAAGAAAATTATGAAAATTTTTTCAAGGTTATCAAAGAATATCAAATGGACTGTTGACAATAATAAACTCAAATCAATATTACGACAAATAAATGTTATTGGAAAAAATCATCAGCGTATTAATAATTTTATTTCTAAGATTGAACAAATATTGGAGAAAATGAAAAAAGATATTCATAATTATTTATCAAATTCTGAAATTTTCAACATTTTCAATCAAGTGAAAAAATTTGGTGTTTATGTTAACCGAAACAATATATCACTTGACAGTTATATTGAAAAATCAATCTTTGAAACAAATATAATATTGAATTTATATTTTAATCTTAAATTGATTGAATATGCATCATTTTATGGCTCAATGGACATCATCAGATTCATGCGAGTAAATGGTAATGTTGAACTGACATCAAACATGTGGATTTATGCCATTCACAGTAGAAATGCAGAACTGATCAAATATCTTGAAGACAATCATGTTTCACCACCAGATAATAAATATGAAAGAATTCTTGAAGAATCAAGTAGTTAAAAAAATAAAAATCGTAATTTCGGAAATCTTATAATCTTGAGCAAATTTTTTTAGGTGAATATCATTCATGCGAGATTTTGGTTAATATTGCGATAAGGAATTACATGTTCGAGCCGGTTCCACTAATCAAAATGAAAACTGCGAAAAAAAGGTGATGTGTTATTTTCACTTATTTTTGATCGTAAATTTTCAATGCTCTTTCTCAATTATTCATATGTATAAAAATATTAATTTTTAATCTTATGTACCATAAAAAGATTAAAATATAATTTTTTTTTTAACTATTGAAAATATTTTTTTTTGTTTCAAATTTTGTTTATGTGGACTTTTATATAAAGAAAAAGTTAAACTTTTTGTGGGTTTATAAGCACATTTTCTCTTACAATATTTTATAAAATTTTGTAAAATGTAAGTTTCGAATTATGATTTACATTTCATTTTTTATTAATGTACTTTCAATATGCTCTTGTCGCCAAAGATTCTACAATATTAGCAGAAAAATCAATTATAGAATGGGATTACAGAGAAGTTTCACTTTGTATCCTCGGAAATAGATTACCAGAAGAAGAAGTATTAAAAATATACAAAAAGCCAAACACTTTCTATTCAATCACAAGACCAAACGGAACAACATTTATTTCTGTATGTATGTCAAAAATCCCAGAAAACATCCAAGAAAGATTTCTTTTAGAACTCGAAGAAAAATGGAATGAAAGCCAAAAATTCTTCAAAAGAATTTTTTCAAAGAAAAAAGATTTTGGTGAAACAGAAATCGCGCCACTTATTCATCGCTACAATGAAGAGTTGAAACAAAAAATCGATAATTATATAGCAGAACTTGAAGAGCAATATCGTCAATATAATATAGATTATAATCAAACAGTTGAAAGACTTCGTGAAGCATTCAGAAGAGGTGAAGAATTAAGTAGGAATGAAAGTATTCCCATCAGGAATTCAGCCGCTACTTTCCATGGAAATTTATCTGATTAATCTGTTGTTTATAAAATTATAATTCTGTAAAAACATCTAAGGTTTTATTCAGATTTAAATTATTTAGATCAAGATAAAAAAAAAAAACATCTAAGGTTTTAAACGGACAAGTTGTATACAATTGTAAATACAAAAACCAAGGCTTATCTATAAAAAAATATTTATTCTAATATAAATGATATTTATTCGTATAAATATTTATTCATTATAACAAACTTTTTCGTAATATAACAAACTCCACCCACCTTTCCTTAGTCTCTAATAAGCCTTGGTTTTTGTATTTACAATTGTATACAACTTGTCCGTTTAAAAATTACAATTGTAATTACAATTGTAAATACGTTATTTTCTCGATGTTAGTTTTTTTTTTTTTATCTTGATCTACAATTATTTTTTTATATTAAAAATGTTTTAAATAATTTAAAAATAAAAAGATAAAATAGTAAAATGTTTTTCAAATTAAATAATATTATTTTTGATTCTTCATAAAATAAAAAAAAATTTATTCGTATTCAAAAAGTTTCATTGATACTACAAATCAAAAAATCGTTATTTTACGAAAAAATACGTTAAAAAGACGTTTATAGTATTTGTGATGTAAAAAAAATAAGGCCTATTCAGATTCAATAATTATGAATTATTTGTATTGTTAAAATCGTAAATATTTACGATTTATGATTCACAAAATTGATTATTTCCCCCTCTCTCGAATTGAGCATAATTCTGTAAATCAAGACAAAAATTGCATATTCATGTTTTTATCGATAAAATATTATCGATAAATGAAAGTTGGCTATTTTTTATTAATAAAAAAGAAATAAATATTTATTATTAATATTAATATGAAACAGATTGATCTTCATTATTTTCATTTGATCCATTTTCTTCCAGAATATCATTTTGTTCATGGTCGATGCACCAAGAGCGGCTCGAGCAATGTCAGATTCTTGCTCATTAAAATGGTTTTCAAGTATTTGACATTGCTCGAGTTTGCTCATAATGAGCAAATTTAAAATGATTAAAAATTCAATTTTCAAGCAATTTTTCGAGCGCTCTATAAAATAAAAAGCTCTGGTTCGAAATTTCATATTCTTTTAATTATTATGTGTGATTCATTTATGAACATTATATTCTAGATTTATTTGAAATTTTGAGAAATTAAAAGAATTATTTTTATCATTTTTTATAAATAATTAATATATATCATTTATTTTGGACAATTTATGATTATAATTTAATTATTTTTATCTGGTTCGAAATTTAATATTTATTTTGGACAATTTAAATTATAATCTTTATCAAATAATTATATATATAAATGGGTTTTAAATTGATCTTTAAATATTTAAAGATCAATATTTTCCAGATTTAAATTTGTGAATATGATTATGAGCAAGAACTTTTGGCTCGGGCAATGCTCTTGCCCAAAAATCATTTTGTGCAAACCGCTCGGCTCGTGCTCGTAATGCATCCCTGATTTTGTTTATTCTTTATTACAAATAATCCAAAGAAAATAGCCAGGATACAAATGACAGAAAAGAACAACGTGACTCCAAACATTTTCATTGAATTTCTCATTTCTGGAAATGCCATCACGATCACAAAAGCTAACATCCAATTTGACACAACACAGATTATATATAAGAATATTTTTCTCATGAAATAAATGTTTTCAATAAAAAAAAAAAATGTCAAATAAATATTTGATTCTGATGTTGTCATCAGAAAAAGTGGATTTTGTTTGAGTGAAAAAACAAAAAATTCTCTTGGGTGGAGTCGAACCACCATTACAGGTTTATCAGACCTATGTCATATTCCGTTAAACTACAAGAGACTTCTTATATATAAGAATATTTTTCTCAAGAAATAAATGTTTTCAATAAAATAAAATAAAAAAAAAAAAAAAATGTCAAATAAATATTTGATTCTGAAAGAAATTATAAATCAAAATCATTCATGATATTTAAATCTAACTGTTTAATTATGTTGATATTTTGAAACATTTATAACATTTTACAGGAGTATTTAATTGCATGGCATTGAATCTTGCTGCAAAAGAAGGCCATACTGATATTGTTGAATTATTATCAAAACAAAAGCACATTAAATAATACAATTTCACTTGATGAGTTTGCTGCTGAAACAATAAATCAGTTCATATCACTAAACCAGACAAAATTAGAAAATGAACAAAAGAAAAAGAAAGAACATGAAAAGTATAAAGAATTAGAGGGCAAGAAATTACCAGAAAAGCAGAAAGAACTAGAGATGCAGAAAGAGCTGAAAAAAACGAAAGAATAAGGCCTTATTCAATAAGAATAATGCAGACTTAAATCAGAAACAGAAAAATCATAATGAATAAAATATTAACCACTTAAATAAACATTATATAAAAGTTAAAAATCAAAGTTTTTTAGTCTGTTATTCGATAGCAAAATGACACTTTTTTGTTTATTTATTAGATCAAAAAGTATATAATTTCTATTGGATAAAAAAAAAAACGAATGATAAAAGTGATTTAACTTTAAAAAACAAAAAAAGTAATGAAAAAATTAATCATCTGATTTGAACCATTCGTCTGATTCTTGTGAATGCTCTGAGTTGCTTTCTTCATTGTCTGATGAAAAAACTGTTGTTTTTTTCGTTCTTCTTGGTGATGTAAGCTTGTCTATTGGCGTGAATTTCGGGAATGGAAGAGCATTTCGCCCTGAATGGCTGCTAATTGGCGGATTAGAAAAGTTTCGCATCAAGTTTGGTGATGATTTAATTGACTTAAAAGATGCAAGTCGTTCTGAATTTGATGCAATTGCAACCTGTGGTGAGTGAGGAGGAGGAGTCCCTGCAAGTCCTGTCAGCTCCAGTGTTGTTGAAAAGTTTGGTTCTGTTGGTGCTGATGAGATTTTGGTGAGTTGAACATGAACTATTTTCGCTTCTGATGCATCTGATTGTTCATGTTTTGATGATGATTCTAATGAATTGCATTCAATGTTTGAAGCTGAAACTGAATTATTTTCTTTCTCTTTCTCTTCTGATTCAATACTAACATTCATATTTTTACCTTCGATTGATGATGACTCTTTTTCTTTTTCCTTTTCTTTTGCTTCGCTTTGGTTGCTTGATTCTTTGTTTTCCTCTGATTGTACTGTGTCAGTGATTTCTTTTTGATTTTCTTCTTCTTTTGCTTCGTTTTGCTTGTTCGGTTCGTCGTTTTCTTCCGATTGGATGGAGCTGGTGATTTCTTTTTGATTTTCTTCTTCTTCTTTGGCTTCTTTTTGCTTGCTTGATTCGTTGTTTTCTTCTGGGTGGTTGGTGTCAGTGATTTCTTTTTGATTTGCTTTTTCTAATTCGTCGTTTTTGCTATTTCCGGCTTCGCCTTTTTCGTCATCGGAGAAACTATCGAAATAACGTTCTGACTCTGTTTCTGATTCTTCCTCTTCAAATTCAACGTTTTCGTTATTTGAGTTACTATCTCTCTTTTCTGGCGAATCAATAAAATCTTCTTTATTTTGTTCTTCATTTTCACTTTTGCTTGATTGTTCATCTTTATTTTCTACTTCATCCTTTTGATCTTCACTCTTCATCATTTTAATTTCTTCTTTTGTTTCTACATTAGATTGTGATTCTTCTTTTGTTTCTACATTAGATTGTGATTCTTCTTTTAATTCATCTTTTATTTTTGAATTTCCTTGTATTTGTTCATTTGTTTGCTTTGTTGCATTTATTTTACTTTCTACTTCTTTTTCTTCTTTGTTGCTTAATTTTTCTTTTTCTTGTTTGTTTTCCTCATTTTTATCTTTCGTTTTATTATCAATTGCTTCAATATCATTAGCAAGGCTGTTTTCCACATTACTTTGTTGATTGTTTTCTTTTTTATTTGTAATTTGGAGTCGTGGAATATCTTTCTTGTTTAGTTTTTTCTTTTGAAATGTTTCAGATTCTGATTTGTCGTCAAAAACAGAACTCGATTGGAAAAAGGCTGAATTTTCTGATATTTCCAGTCTTTGAGGACTGTAGATGTGCTGCTGTGAGTAATTGGATGTGTCGACTGAAACACTGTTCGAATTTTGACTGATTGATAAGTTTGGCTTAGGAATTGTGTCTTTAGTTGGCTCTTCTTTTTTATGAACTTTAAAAGCATTATCATTTTCACCTTTGTCACCATCTGATCCTGATGTATCTCTACCAAATGAAACGGATGATGATTCTCTTGAATAGGCAGATGTTTTACTTCCATCTGATATATTTGCGTTTCCTTTGGCATTCGATTTTTCTTTTTCTTTCGATTTTTCCAGTTCTTTCTGCCTTTCCAGTTCTTTCTGTTTTTCTAGTTCTTTCTGTTTTTCTAGTTCTTTTTGTCTTTCTAGTTCTTTCTGTTTTTCTAGTTCTTTCTGTCTTTCTAGTTCTTTCTGTCTTTCTAGTTCTTTCTGTCTTTCTAGTTCTTTCTGTTTTTCTAGTTCTTTTTGTCTTTCCAGTTCTTTCTGTTTTTCTAGTTCTTTCTGTCTTTCTAGTTCTTTCTGTCTTTCTAGTTCTTTTTGTCTTTCTAGTTCTTTCTGTTTTTCTAGTTCTTTCTGTCTTTCTAGTTCTTTCTGTCTTTCTAGTTCTTTCTGCCTTTCTAGTTCTTTCTGTCTTTCTAGTTCTTTCTGTTTTTCTAGTTCTTTCTGTCTTTCTAGTTCTTTTTGTCTTTCTAGTTCTTTTTGTCTTTCCAGTAATTTCTTGCGCTCAATTTCTTTATGCTTTTCCTGTTCTTTCTTTTTCTTTTGTTCATTTTCTAATTTGTCTGGTGTTGATGACACTGATGTTGGTTTCTTTATGATGCTTGGTGATATCAACTGATTGACTGTTTCAGCAGCAAACACGTCAAGTGAAATTGTATCATTTGGATTGGGCGTTTTTGGTGTTGAAGAAGCCGAAACAGAAGATGATAATGTGACACTATTACTAACTTTTCCACGAATCGGTGATGATGGATTAGAACTCGAATCAAACGAGAGCTTATGCTTGTTATTTTCTTTTTCAATTTTTTCAACTTTAGACTTAAACTCAAAAACGTGATTTTTACTTTCTTTCTCTTCAGAATCTTCTTTTTTATTATCTTTTGAAAAGAAGGAAATCAATTTCAATGGATCAACATCATCGTCATCTTTTTGTTTCTCTTTGTTTTTATTGTGTTTTGCGGCCTTTTCATGATTATTCGTAACTTTCTTAATTGGCTTTCCAGCATCTCCGAAATTTGAACCAATTTCAGTGAAGAATGAGTGGAAGACATCTCCACTTTCATCATCAATTCTTCGAACATGTTGACGATCACTTTGCATAGTTGATGAGAATGATTCTTCTGATTCTTTCAAAATGGAAGCCGATGTAGAATTCAGAAGTTCTTCGATATTGACTTCACTTTTGTGCTTCGGCATTGGCGCATTTATATTTTCAGGGATTCGAAGATCGCTTGCAAGTGCACTTAATGAATCAAAACTTTTATCAAGAAACTCAGGCTCAATTGTAAGAACTTCCATGATTGATCCTTTAATATCTGATGTTTTATTTGATCTTGAAGGTGATTTTGGTGATGGTGGCGGAGGCCGTTTACTATATTCAGTAACTTTTATTCCTGTATTACTAAATTTATTTTGGATTATCTCTAAATTACTATTAAAGAGGGAATAATGAATGATTGCTTCATAAACACAGAAATTTTGGTTTTCAATAGAATTAATTTTGACACTTTTTAATTTGCCAAATTCTGAAAAATTTTGTTTGATATCGTCCTTTGAAATACTTCTCTTCCAGTAGCCTGCCCATAGTATCACTTCACGGGGTGATGTGGTATCACTTGAAACCGTCGAAACCGTTATTTTCTTTGAATTTTCATTGTCTTCAATTATTTTTGCAAGTTCTTTGCATTCTTTGATTTGAGAGTTTCTCATTTTAATGTATCTTTCTTTTGCAAGTGACAATTTATTTTGTTTTTCTGTTAAATTGTCTTCCAATCTATGAATAAGTAGTTGTTCCTTCTCTGGCGTCATGTTATCTGGATCAATTTGCTCTTCAACAAGGTCGTAATACGTTTGCTTCAAATCGTGATGAATATTCATTTCATTTTTAATTGTTTCTGAAAGTTTTGAAATTCTTTTTCTTTGTTTGTTGTATTTATTATATTCTGATGTTAATTTGTAGTTTGTCATTTCAAGCTTAACTGACTCTTCTTCTGCTTTAAGATCTTCGATTTCTGATGTAATAAATAAAACCTCATCTTCCGCATTTTTAACTTCTTTTTTAAGCTTGTTTATCGTCGTTGTTGAAAACATTTTCCTGTAATTAATTATTTTTTCTTTTAATGAATCTGATTCTTTTTGTAATTGAAAAAATTCTTGGGCGGTTACATGATATTTGGTCGGTATATCGTATATACTGATTTCTGTAAGATTTTTTCGACGATAAATTAAGGTTTTTACTTCGCGATCTTGTTGTTGATCTAGTAAGAGTTGGAATTTATGTTGGAGTGGCTCAATTTCTTGTATTAACTGATTTACTTCCGATTTAAGTCTAAAAAATTCTGCTTTTAAATTTAGGGGATCATTGGAATCTGTGGGTCGTTCAACTTGCAAATCTCGTGTCGTTAATGGCCGAGATACATAAACTACCCTAGGAGTGGGTTGCATATTTTTATGATATTCCCTCTCTTGGCGTCTTACATCATCTTTTGAATAGCGTAAAGAATCTTTCTGGCGAAATATCCTAAAAATAAATTCATCCATTCAAAAAAAATATGCAGAAAGCTCACCCTAATTATAAAATCTTACTTTAAAGTTTCGTTAACAATTTTATGTTAACTAG